TTAACAGTTAAGCATCTGTGCCACACCCAAAATTAAATATTTAATGTTAATTTACTTAAATGCCAATGCCGTATTTCCTCTCTCAATATATTGTTATTCAATCTTGATTTGTAGAAATTTTGAAATCAGATCAATAAAAAATTATCCTGGTAATAAAAATCAAAATATATAATTAAATAGGGAACATCATATAACAATACAAATTAATAATCATAACATACACTATGGGCGAAATTGTGACTGGTCATACACTAAGTACGATCAGTCACAATTTCGCCCATAACAGCAAAAAGTAACGTTTAGTCTATGATGATTAACAATAACACTTTTCACCAATTTTCTTAACAATAACACTTATTAGGGAAAATATAATTGCGTTCATCTAATACACTTAAAATTCATAAAAATTTTAAGTGTATTAAGTGAATTTTAAGTGTATAATTACTTCCTTTTGTCAAATATTGAGAGTTGGCAGCTAATAGTCACATGGAAACTGTGTTTTAACTTATTTTTGTATCGCGTGCACCTGAAAACAATTAATAATACTCGAATATCATAATGTTTCCCGCGGCATTACGTTACTAAAATTGTTGTTAAATGAAATATTATAATAGACAATGAACACGCTTTATATAACTATATTTAATATAATAATAACTCGTAACTTACAAGTTAGTTTATATTTAAACTAGCATATTATATAATAAAATATATTATCTACAACAATTAGAAAACACGTTTTTTTTCAATAAACCTAAACTTTTGATTTAATCTGCATAAGATATAAAGTATTTAAGATAAATTTAATACTAAAAGTTTATTAGATTGTTTGATTATTATAAAATAAAATTGAAAATAAAACCGGCATTTAAGGGAATTAATATTTTTCTTCGACATCGTTTCCCTACCCCGTTTTAGCGGATATATTTTTTATATTTAAGTAACCCTTCTCTGTTTCTTCATTATTATACACTATACTTACGACCAGTTTTATTTCCCATGTTATAATTATCTTAATTAATAGTTATCACGTAGAATATACATTTATGCATTTACATTCATAATTGCCAGATAGAGTAATGTCTTATTAGAGAATTTAATATTTGACAGAAATGTATGTAACAATACTTCAAAAAAAACATATATTACAGCTTGAATACGTAGTAATTTATTTTCAAGGATAGTAGAGAGTGAAACCAATTGTAGTTTGTTAAGTTTCCTTTTCTTATCCTTTATATGCATTGCGTTAATTAATACTAAACATTCCGGATCGTTACACCAGGTAAGCTCTTTATTTTCTTGCATTTTATTAAAATTAATCACGATTAGGTTTATATAAACATAATTACGCATTACTAAACTAATAAATACTAATACGCAATTAACTTTAATTGTTAAATAACAGTTTTTTAATATGTATTAGACATAACTATAAGCATTCTAATTATGTATACTTTTGTTTGTTAAAAAATACGCTTCGAATACAGCTTTATTTCCTAATTAATACACGGTTTTTGACGTTTAAAACATAATTTTTTGGCTCCAGTCGAATGAGAATCGAACATAATTTATTTTTTATTTATATTTATCGATTTATTTGATTAATTAATGTAAGTTACACAAAGATTTTAACCTAATACGTAACCAAACTCGATAATGTAATAGTATTATCAAGTTTGGTTACGTATGAAAAGATTAATATATAGTTTTCCTAGTAATGTAAAATATTTATATTTTTACAGAGTCCTTTCCTACACACACAAATATTATACATATACCGGAACTATTCAAATCTGTAATATAAATAATAGAAAAATAATAATAATCTATCTGCAGAATTTTTTATTTGATGTGAAAAATTTTCTTGTAAATTTCTCTGTATCATACAATTTTCAATTAGTTTTTAAGGATATTGGTTTTTAATAAATCCCTTGAGTCCCAACTCCAGCTTTATTTAGTATTCCTTCCAGCTTTGCAAGATTTGGCTACCCTTTTTTATGAATTTTTCAATTTATATTTAGAAATAGATAGTAAGTCTGTAGAAGTAATTTGTTTTTAAATATCCTTTTTCGTGATAAAGTTTTAATACTTATTACTTATTACTATAATCTAGATATGTTAATCCTTAAATATACAAGTATATTTAACTTGAATACTTCTTGCAATGTGGCCCAGAGAAACAAAAAGATTTAACACTCCTGTTTTAAATTATCATTGTGAAATGAAAAGAAAATAAGTAAAACAAATTAGTTTTCTAATATTTTCCTGTTACTTAAAAAAAATGGCAATTGAAGAATGATAAATGCCGTATTTTTCGAAAGTTTTAGCTATTATATTGCAAAACATATTTTATGTTTATAAGCCGATAAAATTTACTTTATAGCAAATTTCGTCACAAGACATTACAATATAAAATTTTCTTTTCTACGAGGTTTTTTTGTATTGTTATTGTTGTATTGTTTAATACAACGCAAAAAAGAGTTTAATAACACTATTATAAGTATTTTGTAGCGATAGATTTTTCAACGCCCTTTTGTACTAATGAGGTTTTAATTAATGCTTACAATTTCTATAGAATCTTTCAGTACAGTAAATATGTTTTGATTTTTCGTGCAATTTAGTGTTTCATTAAGCATTAAAAGTTTACTTTTCTAACTTTCTCATTAAATACTTTTATCGTGAGCTTTCTTGGATAGAAAGACTTAATATCATTTAGTTTCAAGTTAATATAATTGTTTTAATCATTTTAACGACTAGATACGACGTGTCACGCAAGTCTTGAATTATTGGAGTTTTTATGTATATTTTATTGCACATGAAAACTTCAAGGTATTTTGATGGTGGAAATCCGCAGTTGACTTCATCGAGACGTTTAACGGAATGCATCCAGAATTATGTGTGATTAGTGGAACGTTTGGATGCAGCCTGGATAATCTTCGTCCACTTCACGCTGACTGCTTGTTTCTATCGCGAAAATAATTTGAATTCGTTTTCTCCTTACTAATCGCTATGCTTTATTTATAAAAGAATTAACAAAGAAGAATATATTGCATATGGTTCCAGATTTAATCCTGCTACTCACATGCAGAAAATACGCTCTCCAATATGTCAACCGTACAGTACATATAAACAGATACCGAGAGTGCCGAATTAAACTTTCTAAGTTTACTTACCATCTTATCTCAAATAAAAAAAATCCACAAAAGCGAAGATTTTGGGTAAAAAGATATTTCGAATTCGTTCCAAGTTCGGAATATCGAATACTTTGGTACTCGAGTTACGATTACACGATCCCTTCGTGCAATAAGTACAGTACATCTATTTGACGTTAATACTTAATTCGGATAGTAATATAGGGAATAGATGAAATATATTTTATCTAAATATAGGTTTTTCTGAATGCCTATCGAGATATTGCCCAAGTTATTGCGATTAATTGAGCCTGATATTACAAAGCGGAATTGTTTTATATATATTTGTTTGTTCTGGATCATCATTTCCTATAGTGCTGTTAAAATAAATTGCCATAATCATATCTTGATAAATGATTACTACACTAAAATTTTATTTAATGGTTTTTTAAGTAATTCACTATTTTAATATTCTAAAGAAATCGCTGTTTATTCACTTCTATCTTTGAAGTAAGAAATTAAAACACTAATACTGTATAGAATAATTGCAAACTACTACTATAATCAGTTTTATTAACATCTTAAATACATTATATATTAATTATAATTGCTGACTGTAATAAAACTGATCCAACAAAACCATCAACATATTTAAACAAGCTCCAGTTTGTGGAGTATATTTCTGAAGTGTTGCTTTACTCTTCTATCTCGATGGTTTTTCCACCTTTTCTCGGTGTCACTCCCTAATAACATTCAGTAAATTTAATAAAATTAGTAATTATATTAGTAAATTTAAAATATAACAATTAAGAAAAGTGTTATAATTCCAAAGTACAGTACTTATGTTAGACACTATTCACCGCAATTCCGAACTGCTGGCCAATCGCAGCCCATATTGATTTTTCAGTTTGGTGTCTTTAAAATCCGTATAATTTTTGTCGCACAGACACGGATGTCTTCAGATTCTTTCTTAAATGTAATGCGCTTTTTGCTCACTCTGACTGTCATAGTTCGAATGCTATCGTCCCAAGTGATGTTTACGACAACATTGCTAAACGGCCTTCCTATTGGTTTAATTTTTACCGTTCCGCTTTCCGCGATAGTGACGCCATTTTGCCATTCTGTCGTTCGTTTCCGCATGTGAGTACCAAGCTTTCAGCTGGATGCAAACTGATGCAGAAACGATTTCACACAAAATGTTTTTGACAAATTATGCTTAAAATTGGTTTTTCAATTGTTTATATAGACCCAACGCACATTAATCAATCAAACCGCGATACCTGATCGATCAGAATTAAACGCTGTTGGACAAAGTGTTCTGTCTGAAGACGGTTTTTGCTCGATCAGTGTGCATTAAAATGGTTTTGTATCCAGCAAAATGTTTTGTATAAAGTTGTGGAGATAGTTGCAGATAAGCAAATTGTTTTAATTGAAGTAAGATTTTTATATGATTCTTCCTGACACAACCACATTCGTGACTATATACAATTTCATGCACTTCATCGTCCGCAAGACATCGTGGAATAGTTCATCCAGCCTGAGCATGCCTGTCGTTCTGGTATTGCAGGGACAGTGTGTAGAAAGGAAGCTCGCTAAAGAGTTTATTTGTTGATAGTAGAGAATTTAACACGGGATTTCATTTTCCTTTCCATATTCTTTCACATCTTTATAACCTTTTTCTTCAATTTAAATGTCAAATTTTACTAAAAGTGCTCTCATCTCAATAAGTTATTGTTTTTCTTTGGTTTATTCATTTACATTGCAAATTATTATAATAAAAATATACTTTAATAATAATATTAAATAAGTAATTCTTAGATGTCATGGATGAATAAAAATCATCATATTATTCATACTTACAGCCGAAAGATGACTTGCTACTGCGTTAAAAACAAACTGTCTCCATTATTCTCACAAATTGGATATCATATAGGATGTCATCCCATATTTTATACTCTAATACCAATTATTGTGTCAGGAATTCTTGCTTTTGGATTTTTGAACGCAAAATTAGTGACGGATATTGAATATCTTTACACACCTATCAACGGAAGATCCTTAACAGAAAGAAGAATTGTCGAATCTTTGTTTCCTCCAAATTTATCTTCCGATTACGATTTCTTGAGAATCACGAAGTTTGGACGACTCGGTTCAATTCTGGCGGTATCAAAAGTTAACGATTCTATGTTAAACGAACCAATAATGAGAGATATAATAGAATTGGATCGTTTTATCAAAAATATTAACTTCGTTTGGAATAATTCGTCCGTAAAATACGAAAATCTTTGTTGTAGAACTATTCGTAACGAGTGCTTCGAAAATATGATCTTGACGTTTGCGAGAAAAATAAATGAAATCAAGAATGGAAAATATGTAATAAAGTAAGTATTTTAATAAGCAAATATCTTTGAGTTTTATCAATATATAAGTATTATTTATTTATACAGATATCCCATAGATAAAACTATAAGCGAATTAAGGATTTCTGCAATTAACGTAGGAGGGGTGCGTGTAAATGCACGAGAAGAACTGGAAGATTTTCATATTGTTCGTTTGTTCTATCCGTTAGATTACAGCACAGAAGAAAAAAATAAAATGTCACTGAAATGGGAAAGTGAATTTTTGAAGCAATTATCTAATTTAAAACTGAAAAACATCGATTTCTACAAGTTTGTCGGAAAGACTTTCGACGACGAACTCAATCGACTTACTGATATGGCATTACCCCTTTTATTAATTGCCATTCCCGTTATGTTGATATTTGCAGCGATATCTTGCATGTCGTCGGATGCCGTAACCAGCAAACCGTGGTTGGGTGTTGCTAGCTGCTTATCCTCGTTCTTAGCAACCGGTTCTGCATTTGGCTTATTGTTGTATATTAACGTGCCATATGTCGATTTGAACTTGGCTATTTTCTTTCTTATGCTCGGTAAGTACACATTTATATAAGTCTATTCGCAATTTAAATACTAAGAAGTTGTGTTTTAGGCATCGGACTTGACGATTCTTTCGTTTTATTGGCATCTTGGAGACGTACTAACTGCAAAGACACTGTAATGAAAAGAATGAGTGATGCGTATTCGGAAGCCGCGGTATCAATAACCATAACTTCCACCACAAATTTTTTTTCTTTCTGCATGGGACTTCTAACACCGTTCAGAATTATTCATATTTTCAGCATTTATAGTTCTTTGTCCATTTTATTTGATTACCTCTACCAGATATTCTTCTTCGGAGGATTAATGGCATTAGAGGGATACAGGGAACAAAAGAACAGGCATTGTGTCTTTTTTACTAAAGTTAATTCAAGTAAGTACGTATAAAATATGTTCAATTTTGTAAAAATATATATTATTGTTAAACTAAAATTACTAAATGTTTAAAGGTAACGTTATTGAAGAAGAAATGAACGTTCGGAAGAAAAAAGACAACTTTATGATGGTATTTTTTAAAGATATTCTAGGGAAAATCCTGCAAAACAAACTGATTAAAATAATAGCTATTATTTTGTTCATCTCTTATTTAGGGTGCGGTGTATATTTTATGAAATGGATAAAGGAAGGATTAGATTACATTAACATATTCCCATTTCATTCCTACGTCATTAATTACATGCTACTACATTATCGATATTTCACTGAATTTCCTCACAGGATACACGTCGTTATTAATCAGACACTCGACTATTCTGATCCCGCTGTACAAAAGGGAATAGATGAGCTCTTAAACTCTTTCGAGACAGCTCCATTTATGAGCGATTCCTCGAAATCTGAGTGCTGGATGAGAGAATATCTTTCGTTCATCAATGAACCTATTTCGCAGATTTCGCTGAGAGGTTACAATTTGAGCGATTCAAAGGATTTCCTGGATGGATTCAAAAACGTTTTTTTGAATATCAAACGAGCAGGGAGATTTAGAAAAGACGTTCTTTTTAATAGTCGAGGTGACAAAATAGTAGCTACCAGATTTTTCATACAAAGTCACAATGTAAGAAATTCCTCCGCAGAAAAATATCTATTAGAAAATATTCGAAGAATTGCAGATAAAAGCAAGTATAATGTTTATGTATGCAATTTATGGTTCGTTATGTACGATCAATATTTAGATGTCATATCGACGTGTGTGCAAACAGTGGGTATTACAGCAGTAATTGTATGCATAATATTTACTATATTCATTCCAAACTTAATCTGTACCTTAGCAGTTATGGTAACGGTAATAAGTATACAAATCGGAGTCGTTGGTTTTATGTCGGTGTGGAATGTCAACGTCGATTCGGTAACAATGCTGATTTTAGTCATGAGTACGGGTTTTTGCGTCGATTATTCGTCCCACATATCTTACGCCTACGTAAATTGTCCACAATACGATTCAAATGAAAAGCTAAGAATCTCTTTATATGCCGTGGGTTATCCAATTTTACAAGGATGCTTTTCCACTATTTTAGGTGTCTTCGTATTGTACTTTGGAGACTCCTATCTGTTTGTTATTTTCTTTAAAGTTATATTTTTAGTTATGGTTTTTGCAGCTTTTCATGGTTTAATTCTATTGCCTGTCGTTCTTAGTATTGTAGATTCTACGTTTTGTAAGAAAAAGAAAACAAATTTCAATAATAACAACGAAGTACATAAGATGAAAAAATTTATATCGTTAGAAAGAAATCACCAAATTCCGTTTATAGATGAAGAATAAATTCATTTTTATCAACTTAATTCTTGTTTTTAAATTGGTCTTGTCAATAAGAAAAAATATTTCTTCGTATTGTTAGGAGCAACTTCTTTAAAAGTTCATGTTTGAAAGCCTACTTGTGTATATTTACATAATATAAATGAAAATCTATTGAATCGAAACGTCATTTTTGAAATTCGGGTGTTTCCCAAGAAGTTTCTGCATCCAAGCAGTTTTCAGAGTCTTTGTTCCATCCCTCGGCTAAAATCCGTTTTAATTGTTGCAGGGTTTGAGACTTGCTTTATGACATTTTCCCTTTTAAGGTGCGCTAGTAATTATTTATAGGGGCTGCAAGTAAGCCATTGGAACACTTTTATTTGTTCGCTCTTAACCGTTTCTTAGTTTTCCTTGGGAAGCGGAACCTGGCATGATCGTGATGAAAAATGCTTGGGACGAGTTCGAAGAATTCGTAATAACGTAGATTTAGCTAATTACTCGTCGGCATCTACGATATAATCACAGAAATGTAGTTGCCCAATTCCTCGTGTTCCCATACATTCCCAGTCCATTCCCGAAACCTATTGAGAACTGGCAATTTGGATGGTTGTTTTATGCTAGTTCCGAATGACATATTAAATACGGTAAGTACCGTATTTAATATGAAGCGTCGATTGATCTGACCTTAAGGCTAAATGCCACTTTGCTACGTTTCACTTCGAGTGGGCTCGTGATCACAGGATGCGGCGACGTTAAAGTTAGTTGAGAAATTCTTTTGTCGTTTTAGTTCAATACTTCAATCTTCTTATTCATATTTTGAACTGTATTTTCAAATACATCTCTCTCGAACCATTATTTAACCCTAGCTTTTATTTTCTGCACAAAAACGTGTCTGATTTCTACAATAGGCCAAAGTAATTGGCACATTTCGCGTGCAATAGAAGTATGTTTCTTGCCTAAGACTACCTTTCATGTATAATTTCAGTTACCTTACCCTCCATATTCGACATTTTTATGTAAATACAGTATTCTTAAACACTTAAATCCAGTTTTATTTGAGAATTATGTTATTTTATATTGTACAGTACTTCACAACTAAACTTTTAACATGAAAGAAGTTTTGTAAATAAATAAAAGGTAATAATAAATACTTATCTATTTCTTCGTTGTATTATTAATAAAATAGTAGTTAGTTACTAAACCTAAAGTGATTTTCATTAATGTATATGCAAGACACAGGAATAAGTTCTATTGTGGCTAGATGGTAGCAAAACAATTCTCGGTCAATCCCAGGAAACCGTAATATCTGGCAACCTTGACACATAAAAAATGTAAAAACAAATAAATTATCCTATAAAAACGTTCACTCTTGTCAATTATAGTATAATTTGGAGTCTGAAAAATCTTCCTTAGAAGGTCCTTCCGGGAAGCATTCTAAGCACCTTGGCAATTCGTTCATATATTGTGTTGCTTCATCTCTTTTCTTCTACAATCCAAAAAGAATAAACACACAAGGATCAAAATTAGGCTCAGAAACACTAAATTAGTTCTACCATTTTAAATGTTGGGACAAGTTAAAGAGAATATTTATCTGGAACACGTAATCACAGATGCTATACAGCAGATAAGGAAATATAATTCAATTCCAACAACATTAAAGATCTCTAAGTTTATACCAAGACAGGTAACTACAGGTAGATAAAGGTAGATAAATACAAAGCAAATACAAAAATACAGACAAGACAGGTAGATAAATACAAAGAGTAGAGTAAGCTAATGCTATATATGACCACCTCTAATATGCTGTGATACTCCTACCATGCAGAAAGGAATTCACTGAAAGCCTGGTTAGGAAATTAAATGCATTTAAAGTGTGTGAAATGAGGATTGCAAAATTATCATGGTGTGCGAGGATTCTCCACAGAAATCTTTCTTAGAAAAAATGATAAAAGTTATGAAATGTATAGGACCCAGGACAAGCTGCTTCAAGAATATTGAGAAATGGGCGCATATCAATTATGAAGATTGAACAGAGAGGCGCAGGGTAGAAACTACTTGAGGCTAATGATGGTCAACCTCTTAAATGGAGGTGACAGCCAAGACAATGAAATATTCAAATTGTAATTTTCCCGAATTTAAATTTCAAACGTTTTAACCTATTATAAGTCATAAGAATAATTTAATTTACATATAATAATTTTAAAATTAGAATTGCTATTTTATTACAGATAAATTAAATTATATGTGTAGAGGAAAAAATGGTATTATGGAACCCTGCAGGTATTATGGAACCCCTCCATTTCGAACTGATAATAAAGGCGAACTGTAGCGGATTGTGGCTGAACTGCACTAGGCAGACATCCATAGCAAGGAAAAAACCGTTTCACTTCAGTTAAAGTCCGTAGTGAAATAGCATATTTGTGTTTTTTGAAATTCAAAAGTTTTGAATGCTAAGTGAATTTAATTATTTTTAAAATATAAATCGCGTAGTTGTAGGTTCACTGGTGCATGTATTCCGTTCCAGAGATTTAGGGGTACATATTAATCTGTGTGATGTTCACGTTTTTTAAAATTTGGTCTTGGACACACATAAGTTAATTCGAGATGGCGATGCGTGAAATACAGACCCCATTGGTGCTTTTAATATGGAACACGTCTAACTTTTGTAAAAGTATGTGGTAGATGAATGAAAAAGTAAAAATACATACCTAATACTATAGGAGCATTATATTTGTGATTTTTGTAAATGATTAGATTCTTCTTTGTACATTTCTTTATTATTATTATTATTATTATTATTATTAAATCATTTTTGCGATAAAATACATTGGAGTAAATAATTTTGTAATTATTTAACTTGCTTTGTACTTTCCTATTTGTTTTTGGATACATTAAAGCATTTTTTGAAAACATACAGCAAGGTTCCATATTACCACCTGGTTTTCCTTAAGCCTACTTTCTGACTTTTTGTACAGAAACCTTCAAAAATCATACTTATAGTTACACTAGCGAAAAATCCAGTTAGGAACATTTAGTTTAATAGTTACCAGTACTTTTCGCACAAAAAATGTGGGTGTAGTTATGATACCTTGTTTACAATTCCATAATACCACTTTCTCTTCATTAATATTTTGTTCGGGTATCTTTTCTTTATTTGGATTCTGAGTACAACTGATGTCAGCAATTTTAATTCTTAATTGCGTGTGTAGGGAAAATTTAAACGTTATTTAATGTCACGTTACTGATATGAAGTGATCCAAGAAAATTCTAGATGTTTTGTGGATTTTCAGTATAAATATCAGTTTAAATTTTTTCTACTCGTCTAGTATTAAACTTTTTTCCTAATTATATTTATAGTATATAATTTAAACCGTCGATACGCAGTTATTTGCATATTATATTGTTTCTATAGAAATAACAAAAGAAAACAATCCTTATTATAAATAAAGTTTTCGATAATAACCGATTTATATAAAAATAAATTATATACTTATTTATAATCATAATCCATTACGCTTTCAAAATACATGAATATAAAACACATAAATACAAATTACAATAGAACCGAATCAATTTTTGTATCGGTAATCCATTCTTATTACGTTTTTACTTTTTACATGATTTAAAACAAGAAACAATTGTAGTGGTTATGAAATTCCTACTAATGAATTTTTCTCTGCTTTAATGGATAAATCACCTGTTGCTCGAACTTTTAAGTTTTCTGATACAAAACACTTAACATAATTAAACGTCGTTTATATCCATAAACTGCAAGGCTATACTATCTTTATATTATCAGTCGTCATGCAAACATTAATGTGTTTTATCGTCGACCACTATATTAAAATAATATTTGAATTTTATATTTTAAAGTGCACTATTGACCGCCCTAATAATTTAGCCTCCTGCGTGCACGCACGCATTTCAGACCTATCAGGCTCTGGTGATATATTTCATTCATTGCGTGTCACCTGTAAAAAGAGAACACTTCCACGATTTTAACACGTCAATCAATTCAGTCCACTTTGAAAGCATTTCGTTTAACACGATACCGGATCAGGTGAGAAGTTACGATTCAATTTTCGCACTTATTAATCTTTTTTTTAAGTTTTAATTTACTGATTTATGTATTTAAGTTATCGATGAGCGTATTGAAGAAGCCGTAAAATTATTTACAGTTACTTTAATATACACATTCTCAAGTAGCAATTTAATCAGGGTCGTATTAACCCACTTTGGGGCCCTAGGCATTTTTTTTCTTACCAGGCCCCCTCTTTCTCTTCCACAAGGAATAGAGCACACAAAAATATATATAAAACAATAAAGTATTTAATATACAACAAAAAATTTTAGTTTTTCTAGAAAAGTTTAAACAGTCTGTTTATAAATTTTTTTAAAAATTGATATTTATTTTATTAAGTGTCTAACAAAAGTTGCTATACAATAACAATATTACCTTAAAATATTATTTGTTTAATTTAACCTTTTTTGATTAATATTTAAATAATATTATATTTTACCCATGAAAGGTAAATCGATGCCTGCTGTTCAATTGACAATCTATATATATATTAGTGATGTGCCGGATCGTTAAAAATGTATATCCGCGGATACGGATACGGATACGGATCATTCGTGTCTAGATCCGCGGATACGGATACGGATACGGATCTCAACTTTCGTACTCAGTCAGCGCCGGTGCGTGTAACCTTGGACCGATAGTTGACGCTTTGCGTTAATAACGCGACGTGTTTTGACTTGCACTGCGCGTGTTTTTGTTTATGGTGTAAAAATGTGCTAAATTAGAATTCACCACAAAGGCAGACAGGATAAAGTAACAAAAGTTAATATAATTTTCCAATTGAGCTTTTTTGCGTCTTTATACAGATTCTATTTCGGGGGATTCCAACTTCACGGTACAAACAGTAGCATGCGAAATTACAGCGATAATAATAGTTCGCTGTATCCAAATCACGTGTACAATACAGATCCCGATCGCGACAATATAACCCGGAACCTTAAAACTAACCTTAAACACTAACTTAACACTAATAACAGAAAAAGGGATAGAATTAAGAAGACAGAAAAAATGATAGATAAGATAGAAATAGAGATATCTGGGGTTTTGTCCCTTTTTTCGGCTTGTTTCTTTATGCATACTGTTGGGTGGGATAACACACGCCCTTCTCTTATAACTGGCCAGTTCTCTTCTTCAATAATTAGGATTTTTTCTTCCACAGTCGTCAATACGACCTTAAAACACGATCTTTTTTCTGAACTATCCGGTCATTGAAAATACGACTCCCAGTATTCTCACCTCGTCCGTACACTCTGCTGTCCAGTTTACGAATGATCTGCTACGTCACTTCTTTTTTTTCTCCGGCTTCTGTTTACACCTTTGCTCCTCAAAGTTCTAGGAACTGCTTATCCCAGCCAAGGGACAGAGAATAGATAAGAAAGTTTTAGAAGAAAATAGAACAATAGAACAAAGGGTAGAAAGAAGAAACGAAACTAAACTAAAATTAATATTTACAAAAATATAGCGTACCGCCACAATAGTTTAGTGCAGTGTTTCCCAACCTTTTTTTGCTATGCCCCACCTAAGCCTTTCTAAAATTCTAGTCTCCCTAACATATACAGCGGCTATACTGTTAACTTAAACTCTGGACAAGTACAAGTCCATTTTCGAATTGCCCTCCTTAGCAATCCAATTGCTCCCTGTGGGGCGTGGGCCCCACGTTGGGAAACACTGGTTTGTGGCTAGTGTGACACGGGATAGCGTAGATTACGTTTGTGTTTTTGGAGAGTGTTGAGTTAAATTAAAATAAAAACAATGCCGACAAAAAAATTTAGTAGTGTAATATGGAAATATTTTACGATAGTAAATGACGAATGTGCTATTGCTACCTATCTTTAAAA